GCTGTCATGGGGCCCACAGGGCGGCGGCGGGCCACGCGGTGTGGGCTGCGGGCCAGCTGCAGGCCCCCCAGGACGCTGACGAAGGGGGCCTGGGTGGGTGCCGGTGGCAGTGGCCAGGAGGAGGCATACAGGGTCCGGAACTCACGGCTGAAAGCATCGGCAATCTCCCCAGTCAGGAGGGTCACCAGGCCGCGGTGCAGGCGGGCGTCGCTCCACGTGAAGCTGGGGGCACGGAGCGGGGCGGTCAGGATCTCTGCGGCCGGCACATACAACCTGGCCCCCATGCCTGGTCCCCAGCCAGGTGTCAGGCCAGGCCAGGTGCCCTCAGCAAGTCCCACTACCCCTCCGGCCTCAGGTGCCCCTCTGCAGAATGGGAACAACCACAGGCCAGCAGGTGGGGTGGAGGTAAAGGCATTGGATACCACATTGCTGATGGGGCGATTCGATTCCCAGACACGGTGGCTTGAAAGCCACTCCAGGGGCATGTGCGTGTGTGCCCAAAATCCCGAGAGGAGAAAGGAGGAGCAGGAATTGTAAAGTGGCCCTCCCCACAAAGGGCGGTTTCTCACTTTCCCTCTCTCTGTCTTTCTCTGTCCAGGGCCCCACAATCCCTATGACAAAGACCTAAAATAAAGAGAGAATGGAAAATGAGAACCTGCCCTGGAGGAGGTGCGAGGGTGACACGCAGAAGGGAGCCACACGAGGGGACTGGAACTTTCTAAAGACCCCTCAGGCTTATCATCTGGGATCAGACTGGAGTTTACACCTGGGCTCTGGCCTGTCCTCACTGAGGATGCCCGAAAACCCCCGTTTCCTCCTCTGGAAAGAGGTCGGTTTCTGACACCCACAGGGACTGTGTCCTGCGGCTCCCTGGCCAGCGCCGTGTGCCAGGCTCGGGCTCCGCTTGTCTGTAACACGGAGCTCAGTTCCATGCATGCGACCCCCTGCACGTGGCCTGCGCTGAGCCTGGCGGGCGGGGCCCTGACTGCCGCCGGCACAGTGGGTATTTCGAGCTCGAGCACAGGAGAACCAGATGGTGATGCGGAGGTGAAGCGTGACACTGCCCGGCTGACCGCTCCCCCGCCATGAGGTTCCAGGTTCACATCTGGAGGCCCCCTTGAACACGAGTACACCGTGACCCGGGGCTAGTGGAGACGGGGGTGGGCCACGGTGCAAGGACCCTGAGGGGGTGCTGGTCTCTCTGCCTCTCCTGCTCATGGAAAAACCAAACAATGAAAACTCCTGAGAAGGAGAAAGGGCCCAGCACAGACCGCGAAGCCCATCAACGCCATCATCCCTCTCCAGCCTCTTTGGAACCGAATGACCCTGGGCTCCGAGCCTGGCGGTGGGCCTGGGATGTCTCGCTGTTCCTCCCCAAGCCTCACTTTTGCCCATCTGGAAAATGGGGTCACCATGGGCCAGCTGGGGCTGAAGTCAAACACTCAAAGTCAAAGCCTTGGAGGACCGAGCACACGGCGGGTCAGCAGGCAGGGCTGTGACTGACTGGGTAGGGTGACAGAGTCCTGGCTGTCGCTCGGATTGTGATGCCCCTCCCCTGCCTGTGACCTCAGCCCTGGAGTGGCCAGTGAGAAGCCTGGGGTCTGTGAGGTCACCCACTCCAGTCCGCCTCACTGAGACTCTTGTCAGGCAGCGGCCCTGGTCCGAGTCCGCCCCAGGACGCCAGGGCTCTCGGGCGTTAGGAGCCGAGTACACTGCGGGCGCTGACTCCGCGGCTAGACCAGAGACGCGTGGGCTGGGGACGGCCAGAAGGTCATTCATTCAGCAGTTCCGGGGAGACCCAGGAAGCCCACGGCCTGGCTCGGGCACCGTCACTGCCGCCAGGCCACCATGGTCCTCGGCTGGCTGCTGCTTCTGGTGACAGCTCTGCCACCCGGCACGACAGCCGCCAAGGACTGCCTCTTCTGTGAGCTGACCGACTCCAAGCACTGCCCCGGTTCCCACATGCACTGTGGCGACGACGAGAACTGCTTCACAGGCCACGGGGTGTCCCCCGGCGCGGGGACCGTCATCAACAAAGGCTGTGTGCACGCCACCAGCTGCGGCCGCGAGGAGCCCGTCAGCTACAAGGGCGTCACCTACAGCCTCATCACCACCTGCTGCTTCGGCCACATGTGCAACGATGCCCCCAGTCCCACGGGCACCTGGGTGCTGGCAGCCACCTCCAGCCTGGTGCTGGGCTTGCTGGTGCCCTGGCATCTGCTGTGACCAGCAGAGAGAGCAGGCCTGGGACTGGCCTCCCAGCGCCACCACTTCTTGCACCCCTCCCCCGGCCCCCATTAAACGGCCAGAGGCCCTGAATAACCTCTGTGGCCCTGGCTTCGTTCATTCTGCGCTGTCCACCCGGAGCCCGGCACTCATGCGGCATCCACAGGCCTGATCCCGCCGGGGCCAGACTTGGGGCTGACTACCCTGCTCTGTCCACTGGTCCTGTCACATGGATTTGCTTTCTTTTTTTTTTTTTTTTTTTTTTTTTGGTTTTTGCAATAGGGCGCATGCACTCGCGAGACAGAGACAGAGAGACAGAAAGTGAGAAATCACCTCCAGGAGGGATAGCCACGCCGCAATCCCTTCTCCTCCATACTCCTCTAGGGATCTTGGGCACGCACGCACATGCACCCGGCGTGAGTTTTAAGCCACCAGGTCTGGGACGCGAACTGTGGTCGACTACGTGGTAGTCCAGCGACATAGCCATTACGCTAACTGCTGGTCCCCATGGCTTTGCATTTTGACCAGGCCGCTGCTTTCCATGGGTGGTGCCTTAGAGTCAGGGAGCTTGGTAAAACACGTACAGAGGCCAACAGGTGGCGCCGTAGGTAAGGCGCAGGACTCCCACACGGCCCACCGTGGTTTGAGTCCCAGACCTGGTGGCTCAAAACTCATGGCAGGTGTGTACATGCGTGCCCAAAATCCCAAGAGGAGAATGGAGGAGAGAGGGATTGCGGTGTGGTCATCTCCCCTACCCGAGGGGGAGTAATTTAATTTCTCCCTTCCTGTCTCTCTGTCTCTGTCTCTGTCTTTCTCTCTCCCCAGCAAGCACATGTGCCGCACAGCAAAAAAATCTCTCAGAAAAAAAAAATATATATGAAATAAGTGACAGCTGACGTTTGTGGAGCACTCCTTACACCACAAGCCAGACACCCTGAGCTCACAGAGCCCTCACGCAGACCTGGGAAGGTAGATACTGGCCAACCCCAGTCTCAGCCCTAGCAGTTCTCAGAAGCTCTCAGGCCCCGTCCTGGGCCAGGTAAGGGGCGGGCCTGGAACGCTGTTTTAGCAAGTCACCCAAGTTCCGACGAACACCGCGGCTCCAGAGCGATGTCTTCAGCCGGGCTCTGCGGACACAGCTGGTCACGTGTGGGCCTTTTTCCTTTGGTCATTATAACTGGGGGAGCACAAGGCTACCAACATCTCCCGGGTCGAGGCCGGGCTGCGGCTCAGCACCCTACCCGGCACACAACAGCCCCTGCGACAAGGCGGCCTCCAGCCCCGCGTGTACTTCTGTCCGGAAACTGTACTCAAGAGGCACCAACCACGCCAGCTCTGCAGAGGGAAGCCGAGCCCAGAGAGCCGCACAGCCCTTAGCTGACAGAACCGGGACTGGAGCCCAGGTGCCTGGCCCACCACGCTGTGACCCTCAGAGGTAGGTGGGGGCGTTCCTGCGCTTTCCAGACGGGACAGTGAGGCGCAGGGTGTGGGACGCACCAGCCTACAGTCAACTGAGAAGCGGGCCAGGATTCAAGACCGGCCAGACCCCAGAAAGGAGAGGGAGGGACGTGATCTCAGGGTGGGCAGCCATCCTCTCGGCTCTCACTCCTTTTTATTCTCTTTAGGTTTTTGCCATGGGGCTCATGCGCAAGATGGAGAGAGGCAGAGGAGGTGAGAAATCACTCCCCACAGGGGATGGCCACGCTGCAATCCCTTCTCCTCCACACTCCCCTTGGGATTTGGGGCACACGGGCACGCACACATGTCGGCCTGATTTTCAAGCTGCCAGATCCAGGACTTGAACTGCGGTCGGCCATGTGGGACCCAACACCTTAACCACCACGCTATCTGTTGGCCCCGTGAGCTCCCATTTCCTCACTGATGCTCGAAAGGTAGTTTCCTACCCAAGGCAGAGGTCCTGCTGGGTTTGAGACTCCCCCCACCCTCAAAGTGTGGGCCCTGGCTTCCAGAAGAGGACACACAGGCCACGGGGCCGGAAGAGAGAAAGACTTCCCCGAAGCCACGCAGGCAGGCCAGTGCTCAGGCCGGTCCCCGCCTCGGGCTCACCGGAGGGTGTGGGGCAGGTGCGCTCCTTACCTGTAGGACCCTGAGATGACCCTGTCACCATCAAGCAGCACGAACTTCTCGCGCACGTGGCCGCTCACCTGCCGCCGCCAGCGGCTCTGGAAGCTGCAGCCCCGCACGACCCGGACGTCCAGATTCTGGGGGAGCACACCCTTGCTCAGGCCCCCCAAGGGCCCGTCCCTCGAAGCTGGTTCTACCTGCATGCCTGTGGCTCCAAGCGTCTGTCCCAGATCCCCCAGAGCCACCGATATCCAGCCCAGGGGTCTCTTGGGGATAACCTAACTCAGCGGCCCCCGGGAGCACCCCCACCCCACTGGCATGGTATACAATCTCAGGAGACCCTCTCAGGGGGCATCTCCTGGATGGCCGTCCCCACCACCCCCAGCACCGGCGGGGTGTAGGCTCCTGGGTCCCCTGGCCCCTACCTCCGTGGCCCAGGGATTCACCGCCAGTTGCCGGGCCAGCGCCAGGAAGGCGGGCAGGTGCTGGCGGTCCAGGAGCAGGTAGACAGGGACCCAGCGGCGTGTGGCAGCGACCACCAAGTCCGAGAGCAGGTCTGGGTCAGTGAAGACGTCCATGACCACAGCCACCAGCTGGGGGACGGAGAGGGGGCGTGGACACACAGAGTCGGGTTCAGGGGGCCCGGTGGGGGCAGATACCAGGGACCTGGGTGAGGTGCTCTGGGGGCTGAGGGGAGACCCTTGGCTCAAATGACACCTGCAAGTGAGAAAAAGCCCCAGCTTCTAATGCTGGGGAATGTCGTCGTAAACCACGAGCCTCCTACGGTGAGCTGTGGCCCTGAGCCGGGACACTGCGGGGCCAGCGACTGGACGTCCTTGTGGGGCACCGTGTGGCCGCACTTCTGGGTCCTCAGGGGTGTCCTGGGTGCCAGGGCGAGAGGCCGAAATCTAGGCCACCAAGGAGAGCATTGGGACCCGTGGGTGCTGAGGGCTGGACCTTGCAGGCAGAGTCAGGAAGTGGTGGGAAACTGTGATTCAGCAGCCAGACGGCCTGGGTTCAAACCCCCGCTAGGGCACTTTGAGGTAAGGGTCTTAACCTGTGCCTCAGTTTCCCCTTCTCCTCTCTGGGCGTAACAGTCCCTACCTCTCCAGGTCTCAGAGGGTCAAGCCCATTGGCCCACATAAAGCACTCAGCACGGAGCTGGCCGGTGCTAGGATGGTCAGAGTGGGCGTCGGCCCCGTGGCCTGTTGGTCACGGGAGTCCGATCCCACATGGCGGCCTGTGCAGTCTGAGTCCCAGACCCGGCAGCTTGCAGACCACACCGTGGGGGCCAGCAGGTGGCGTGGCAGTTAGGGGTGCTGGACTCCCACACGGCTCACCGTGGTTTGTGTCCCAGCTTGCTTTCTCACGCCCCCCCTTCCCTCTCTGGTCAAATGAAAATAAAGTTAAAATAGAATAATTCTTAAAAAAAAAAGGGGGGGGGGACCAGCAGGTGTCGTGGTGGTGAAGGCTCTGGACATTCCCACATGGCCGACCACGGAACAAGTCCCAGACCTGGTAGCTTGCTTTCTCACTTTTCCTCTCTCTCTGGCCAAATTAAAATAAATCAATGATTAAATAAAGTAAATAATTATTAAAAACAAAAAAACACTGTGAGGGAACCAGCAGTTAGCGTAATGGCTATGTTGCTGGACTCCCATGTAGTCGACCGCGGTTCGCGTCCTGGACCCGGTGGCTTAAAACTCACGCCGGGCGCTTGTGCGTGCGTGCCCAAGATCCCGAGAATGGAGGAGAAGGGATTGCGGCGTGGTCATCCCCCCTGGGGGGTGATTTCTCGCTTTCTGTCTCTATGTCTCTCTCTGTCTGTCTGGCGAGCACACGCACCCTATAGCGAAAAAACCTCTCCAAAAACAAAAAAACACTGTGTACGTACACCCAAATTCCCACAGGATGGTGAAATGGAGAAGGGACAGCAGAAGGACCATGCCCCACTGGGGGTGTCCTCTCCCCTCCCTCTCTGGCAAGAGTACCCACCCTCTGGCAGAGGAAGGAAGGGAGGGAGGAAGGGCTTTCCAGGGAGTTCCATCTGGGCCCTCCTGAGGGGGGAACCCCTAGCCTAGTGATGAGGGTGGAGGGGATGGAGTGGGTGACCGAGACAGGGAGGGTCATAACTCAGTTCCCAGGGTGTGGATGCTTGGGAACAGGGGCCCCTAGGAACCCCTAGATCCGGGGGAAAGATGGCGTGTGGAAGGGTGCAGTGCTGGCTCCAGAGCTATGGGTCCTGGGGGATGTGGACTCTTGGGGCCTGGGGTAGGGGTGTAGACTTGCACATCCCGGGGCTGGCATGGGGGGACATCCAGGTCTGGCAACTGGACTCCAGGCCCTGAGCACCCACCTTGTGGGCAGCCTGGATTTCCTGGCGCACCAGCTCCTTGAGGGGTGGTTGGCCCTCTCCGGGGGGCTGGGTGTACAGCTGTGCCCGGGTGATGCCCTTCCAGGCCGAGTCCTCCGGCCAGCCCAGCCGCAGCACGGGCGCCGGCTCCTCCGTCTGCCCGGGCCAGTAGGTCAGGCTGCTCTCGTCCCTGTCGGTGGCAGCAGCTCCCTCCGGCCCGCCAGGCTCCTGGCTGGATACTGTCCAGTCTTCGGCCGTGGCCGCCAAGCCCTGGACCTCGTCCCCGCTCAGGAAGGGCCGCAGGCCCTCGTGCTGCATGCAGGCCCGGAAGGCCTCCACGCCCTCACTCAGCAGCGCCTCGAGTGCCAGCCGCTCGCCCTCAGAGTACAGGAAGGCAGGGCTGGCCTCTGTCAGGGGCAGCACCCCAGCCCCCGGCTCCACACTTTCCAGCACTGCCAGCTGGGAGGCCGCCATCAGGGCAGATCCAGCGGGGGGACGGCGAGAGGCTGGGTCCCCGAGGGTTTGGCTGTCTTTCGGGACTGACCATCTGGTGGTATCCCAGCACACTATGTGGCCATTGGACCCCGAATGTCCGAATGGCTGCCTGTGACTGTCCCCAGCTCACTGTCCATGTGACTGTCCCTAGCTCACTGTCCAGTTGGAGTAAACGACGGGCCACCCGATGTCTCCGGCAGCTCAGACCAGCCTGCCTGCCCCCAGCCAGTGCTGTTCCTGGGTGGCCGTCTCTGCTGGTCAGCCCGACCACCTGGCCATCTCCGCCTGACCACACCACACGCCCCACCTACTGGCCACACCGTGCCCCGACAGACCCTTCTGCTGTTACTAACTTGGTCAAGAAGACCGCCCACCTGCCCTGACTGAAAGTCTGGTTGACCACCTGGCCACTTCTAGGCAACAGGCTTCCGGCCCATCTCTGGCCACCGGTTTTCCCTACTAGCAGTATGGCAGGCCGGTCTGCCCCGGCCTGTCTGGCTCACACCAACTGCTCTGCCTGGGGTCTGAGTCCCTGACCACGGGTGAACACCACGGCCTCTGCACCAACGTCTGTCCAGGGACTTCTCTGCTCAGCCGGCCCACACACCGACCGTCCGAGCCTCCTGCCCACTGGGCCTGCCCTCTCTGCCTCAGAGGACCCTCCTCCCTGGCCAGTCTGGCACGCTGGTGCCTGGGCCCTCACACTCCCCCAAGCTGCTGCACTGGAGTGACCAGTGCTACAAGGGTCCTATCCCCATGGAACCACGTGCGACTGCTAGCTCTAGCCCACCCAGGGCGGAGGCCCCACCTGCCCAGCCACCATTCCCCAGCTGTCCCAGCTGCCCCCGCCGAGCCCTGGCCAAGCTGACCCCAGTCCAGGTTTCCACCTGAATCCGATCTACCAACCGATGGTTCACTTTTCCCTGGTCAGAGACCACTGTCCTGCCGTCTCCTACCTACCCAAACCCCAGCCAACCCTAGGGCTCCAGACCCCCAGGTAATCGGGATGCCTGATCCCTAGACC